TAACATTATTTAAAAAATTTTTATATGAATTTATTTTGAATTTTTTTTTTATTAAAAAATAAATCATTTATAAAAAAAAATTATTTTTTTAAAAATAATTTTACTTAAATATATCAATTAAATATAATTTATATTATAATAAATATTACTTACAAGTAATAATTTTTTAATGAATAATTAGAAAAAAAAGTATAAAAAATTAAAAATATAAGTTACTTATAAAGTTTAAAAGAATTATAAAATATTATTTATTTGAAAATAATAAAATCAAACCTGTGGGTCAATAGCACAGTGGTAGTGCTCCCAGGTCACAATCACAAGGTCTGTAGTTCAATACCACTTAAGGATCAAAAATCAAAATTACCCTTCTGATCAGGTTTACTGGTTATCCTATGAAAGTCGTATCCAATTATCCAGAACAAACTTTAATCAGGTTAGGCTACATGAAGATAGGACTTCTGGCCTTCCATCGATCAAGGGCTGAGATATATGGTTCTACTACTGGAAGGATTGTATGAAGAAAGGTTTCTGGTCTAATCCATCATAAACATCCTATAAGACTCCCTGCCCTGGCAATCTTCAGGACCCTTATCTTTCTAGCTCAGGATATCTCAATATGGTGCTCTGCTTAAATGAAAAATCAGTCAAATGGGACTGATCCGATGTCACAGGTGATGACAAAGAAGGTAAAGTGCCTCCTTCTGAGGTCCAAGTGAATAATATCTGGAAGTATTGGAGGGTAAATTAAAAACCCATTGAGTATATACTATACAGACTAGTTAGTGAATATAATTAAAAATTTATAAAAAGCTCAATACTAAAATTAGCCTGTTTTGTCATCAATAATTGTGTATTAACCATCTGACCCCTAGCTGGATCTGTCCCATTCATAGAGTGGTTAGTAGGTCTACCTAGAGAAAACCGCAATAGATTATCATTAATCTGTATGTATATAGAAAATATATAGTTTGTATAAGAGGATTGATGTGATACCCAGGATTTCATTATCTAAGATATTAAGTTAATTCTTAATAAAAAGCGATCACATTTAATATCAGTTGCAGTTTAAAAAAAAAAAAATAAAATAAAATAAAATCAATTCAAAAATTTTATTAAAAGAAAAATAAATATATATAATTATATTCGATATTTTAAAGAAATATTTATTGACAAAAATTAAGTATTTCAATTGATTGTAAATATGATTCCATAATTTTCATTAATATATTATAATATTATTAAAAGATTTATTTAATTAATATATATTTAAAAGAGGGATTGAAATATAAAAGATAAGAAAATAAACTAAAATAATAATAATAAAATTTAAAAGATGAAAGATTATTAAATATGATAAATAATTATTATATTTAGGAAATAAAAAAAAAGTATTAAATTGAAAAAAATATATAAATAAATAAAATCCAAGAAGCAATTAAAATAATAAAAAATAATAATAATAAAGTATAAACACTTGAACAATATTTATTAAAATAAAATTGATTAAAATAAAGATTAAAAAGATTAAATCGAAATTTGTAAAAAAAAATAAAAATTGAAGGATAAAAAAAGAAAAGTAAAAAAAAAAAAAAAAATAATTAATATTTATTAAATTTTATTGAATTTTAAAATTATTATAGGAATTTTTTTTTCAATTTTTTATTATTTAACAAACCATCTTGAAAACATTATTATAATAATTAATGAAAACTTGTGAAAAAATTTTTATATTATTTCAATAAAAACTTTTGAAAATTTGGTTAAAATAAGATTTTCAATCTTTTAAAACAAAAAAAAAAACCCTTCAAAAATTTTTTAAAAAAGATTATGACAAAATAAAAATAAATACCAATATAAGGAATTAAATTATATAAAAAGTCACATATCACATATACAATATAGACAACAATAAGCAGTATTTGTTGAGCAAACAGATTTCAAATTGAAAATAGTAAGGACAATCAAATCTGATGGTTGAAAAGATTGACTCGAGGATAAGTATAATGTACTCGCATATTTAAAAAAGTATATCAATTTAATAGCAAATAAGAACTTTATAAATTAACTGTACTATAGTAACCTTTTTCAACCCTTATAGAGTTTAAAGTTTTGTTGATTCAAAGTAACTTTCTTTAAAGTTTTTATTTATTTATTTATTATTTATCAGGTTATAAGATTAATCTTTGGCATAGCATTGTCTTGTGCACAATTAGGCAATTTTTGATTGCATACAGTATATTCATTATTATTTTTATTGTATTCCGTTTTTATTACTTTGGGAATGTATTGTAATTAAAGTTCACGGTCATGGTGTATAGGCGAAAGTGAACATTAATCAAAAAAATGCATGCCGAATGAGAATATTTTTTTTCGCCTTTATCAAAGTGCGCGTAGCCCCAAAAAGTTGAAGACAATCGAATTCGAGATAATAATAATATGGAATTCATCTGTAATTTCATTAAACATGATCACTAAAAATATTTACCGTGAATTGGGCCCCCCTCCCTAACGGGAAATTAGCGTTTGGCCAAGTCGAATTTTTTGTGCACCGTTTAATTCCGAACACAAGCAATTCATCACGCCAATTTTAAACTTCTGTTTTTAGAATACGAATTTAACATTCAATATCGCGCCTATTTTTAGGAACCTATTATTGTTGTTGCTGTAATCCAAAGAACCTAACTTACCAAACCTAAAGTTTACCCATGCAATGATGGGGGCGCCATAACAACGATAACAATCCAGCAGTAAGTGTTATTTTGTTAAGAAGATGGGCACGTACTCTCTGAATTCACGTGGCTACAATATTCGTATTGAACGAAGGCTAAAAAGATTTTTTAAGTGTTACTTCTTTGGATGCATTTAATTTATGGTGTGTCTATTTTGTTATCTGCGGAATCGCCCTATCCATCAGAGAATCGTCGTAACCGGCGCATAATAACAGCTGTCAAATTCCATGTGACACTTTTAAAAGGTTTCCAATACGACCATTAAAAAACGCAACTTTTTGTGGATATTATACGAAGAGAAAAACCACACACAAATAAGAATTGTTTACATTTATAATATTGTCAGGACAATGTAAAACCATCATAATAATGGAAACAATAAACGGACGATGCGGAAGTGGTTGCAGAACCTTGAAAAGGTAATACTTTTAAACTTCACAAAAAAAAGACGAAAAAATTATCTACACGTGAAAATTAAAGCAAGTAGCGTGTCGAAAATGGTTAACTGAGAAAGGAAATAAGAATACGGATTTTCTCCGCGTCCGTTCCTTCCAGTCAATGCTCTATTGTTTCAGAATCAATGGTATCTGAAAATCACAAAACTCGCATTATCTGACATTCGTGTGATCTCTGATCTGAACCCTAAAACTATCATGTGTGAAATCTGTAGTCGAACATATCTGGAAGTTGATACAATTTTCCTTTATTCCTCATGGTCAATTCCAAACATATAACACGAGCGTTTCGATGTGTGTCCAAACATTGTGAAGATAACAGAGTGAAAAATTTTCCGAAAAAAAACTTTTTTTTACAATTGTCTTATTGAAGAAAACTACGCGCTTGTTACCTCGCATGTCAGAGCACGACCTATTGAAGAAAACAAGATATTTGTGACCTATTATCGTAAATTGATCTTGAAGATAGAAAACGAGTGGATTTTCTACAACGATTGACGCCATTTTGCATTTTGTACTTGTAAGGTTGCAGAAGGTGGCAATTGCGGCGTCGTATCAATTATTATAAAAAAAAAAAATAATAATAATAATAATAAAAATAGAATAAAAAAAATTTTTTTTTTTTCCTTGAAGAGTGAATGGAAGGTGGAATGAGATTATGAAAATTAATTTCTCGTAATACGTTCTAGCTTCCATTTTCATTCTCTCCAGTCTATTCTTATCTCATTAGGATATTCAAATTCGAATATGACAATTAAATATTAGCATATGATAATAGTAAATAAATAGTAAATAAATAGACGTTATCTTTAGGCATCAAAAGAGTAAACAGATCTTATATTGTTCCTATTAACATTACTAATCGTCCCTATAAAGGATTTACATAACTCGGACCAAGCGATAAACAAAAACAAAAGAGAGGAAAAAGGCTGACGCTTCATTACAATTATTTCTTATAAAACTGTAGTCACATGTGAATTTCGTAAGGGTCAATGAGCGGTAAGAACTAAAAAAAAAAAAGTGTTACAAATCCACAATGCAGTAATGTTTTTTTTTTCCAAAATATGACCATTGGTTCAGTCAGACAATGGTTCTATAAATTCTACGATAAAAAAGGAAGAAGTCAATGAATCGGTTTACCACGAATTTACATTTTTATTGAAAAACCTGATTGTGACATACGTTTTTGGTTTCAGATTCAAATTCGCCACGAACTCTCGAAAAAAAAAAAATTATGTGCACATTTTTTTTTCTGACAGCTGAAAATTTAACTAGCGACAGATTTAGTACAAGATTACGGTTTCTGTGCTTCTATAAGGAACCATACCATGCACATATCATTTACGGCATGATGTCATAAAAGTCCATCCTCTCTTACCCGATCCGCGAGTGGCAGGCGAATTGAAAATTTTTATTATTGTCGTTCGCATGTGGCAGTTCATCATAATATATGGTAAAAACAATCGCTGCGGTTAGAATACCCGCCACAACTTTCCGGTAATGACGGCAAAATGTGGCTGCTTACTTCCTTTCCCTCACGTTGTGCGACAGCTGAGGAAGCTTACGTTTGATGCACCTTAATGTAGACTTTTATTTTAAAAAAAAAAAAAAAAATTTTTTTTTATAAAAAAAAAAATTATTTTATATTAATATGGAAAGCCTAGAGAATTTTCAATAGGTTTTTCGAATTGAAAAAGCATAAATACGCCAGAATGTCGTTTTTGTTTGTCTTTCAGTTCGTCTACAACCAGTGTTTTGCAATCAAATCCTTTGAGAAGATTAAAGCTCCAAATTGAGAAACCATATTTTAATTATAATGAGTCATAGAAAAACCAACAACTTGAAGAACAAGTCACGTGCATGCGTCTTCATCGACTCGAGCGATCCTGCTTTACCGAATCAGGTGATTAACGACGCACGACCCTTCATCAAGCTTCCCTTCCCGCCCACCATTGACCCTCGTGACTTGATTACCGTACTTCCCGATGGTCGTGTGCCAACCCGCGCCCCGAATGCCTTCATTATTTATCGTCGGGCGTTCATCGAAGCAGCACGAGCCGAAGGTTACAACCTTCCTATGACCGTAATCTCTTCAATGACTTCTCAATCATGGGAGCAAGAACCGCAATTCGTCAAAGCAGAGTATCGAAGACTCGGCAAGGAAGCTTACAATAGACGAAATGAGATGTGTCCTGATTCCAATCAACGAAGGAAAAGAGAAAAATGGAATATGGTTTCGTTTGGAAATAAGAAAAATTCTCGCAAAGTTAAAAAAGCGATGCGAAAGCCAGGCATACCAAAAAGACAACCCTCCAGCGACTCATTCAAAACTGACCAACAACAGCAAGATCTGCAACCAACGGTCGGACAAGAGCAAGAGCAACAACGACCCCCATCCCCCGCTGATTCAGTTGTCTCCTCTACTCCCGAAATATCGAATAGTAACGAAGAAAGTTCATTATTGGTATGCGATGCTTATTTTAATGAATTTTCATACGATCATTATCCCACTCCCGAGGACACCACTCTCACTGCCACCTCTACTTCAGATGCTGGCAGCAATTCCCCCGTCATGAATGAACCAGAGTATCATCCCTGTGAATTCCGATTCGCCGAAGATTATTATGATTCTCCAGTTCAATCGCCAATTCAATCGCCCACAGATGAGCTCGAGCAACAATTCGAGTCTGCCCCTTTGTACAACAACCTCTACACCATCGCCACCGCCAATCATTACGAGTACACTACCAGCAACCTTCCCGAGGATATCAGCGAGTCATCTCAAATATCATCACCCTCTCTGACTGTCTATGTGGCACAAGCCGATGTGTTTGGCGGTTTTTCCGATCCTAACGAATATTCCCCCGTACTTTTGCCCTGTGGGGTGAATCTCATCTACTACTGAAGAATGATGATGATGGGAAAAAAAGGAAAAAGATTCGTGATTTTAGTCTCGAACATTTTAGAAATATCGGATCTTTTTTTTTTTTTTTTTAAAAAAAAAAAAAATCATGATGATACCTCAAAAAAAAAAAAATAACCTTTAAAAGATATGCCACCTTGTATATATTTATATAAAAAAAAAAAATTTCGTATATATCCTGCGAAAAAAAAATCCTACACTACATATATACTGTATATCCCCAAAAATATTAAGAACAATTTTCTTTCTTTTTTTCCTTGGACATTCTCTTTCTCTTTCTTTTCTTCTGTCTTCCCCTTTCTTTTTCTTTTATCTTGCTCCTTTTTTTTTTTTTTTTTTTTTTTGTGTGTTTATTCCGGGGATTTCCTTTTTTCTTTTATCTTTTTCCAACTAACTTGAAACGATCATCTCTATGAATTCCACCTATGTGACCCTCTCGATCCTCTATGAAATTTCCTTCGAAAACGTTTGGCCGGCAGCAACAGATCTTTTGCGCAGTAATCCTCCCTAACTTGAATTACCTAAGCAATTGATTTGCGACGGTCGAACGTTTTCCCTCGTCTTTTCGTGTTCCCGCGTAACTCCATGATAATGTTACTCTGTGCATCATGAAAGCGAAAAAATCAATCCGGCTAGTCAAATTTATATTTTCGTTTGTAAATTAAGCACTGATTTTTATCTAGTATGAATAAACAATTAAGAATATGCTCTATGTATGTATGCGAATTTCCTTTACCGGAAATCGAATCAAAGAAATAATAAAGTAAAATTATGTATGTGAAAAGCGAAACGTGCATAACTGTGTCAACGCGTGTGGCCCTGAGACCCACGCGACCTCTGGTTGGAGACGCGCCAAAATATAGAGGCCGTCTCGCATTTTCCGGCACGGTATGTGCGTGTGCGTGCGTGCGCACGTTTCCCATCATGTGATGAATTCATGCTGCGCCAGAAATCCCATGGTACGCATGCACATACGGTACATACAAACATTCCCACACAACCCTTTCCTTCCCAAATCTAGATTATCATGGAGGATGTCGCAGAGTTCTCCGATGAAAAGGGTGCCGACGACAATTCAACTGATAACATTTCAAATACTGAAATCGGAGATGAAAAAACCATTCCATATAATAATAGGGTATTTCCAAAACTTCCCAACGAACTTTTATTGTTAATTGCATCCCACCTTACCCAGAAAGACCGAATCCAACTTTCTCGAGTGTCAAGGGCCTTCCACAATTTGATATTTACCTCGGCTTTTTGGTATGAAGTCACACTCTATAATACGAGGGGATTTGGAGAGGATGCGTTGGAATTGTTGAAAGGAGTAAATTTCTTGGATGCAAGTGTGAACAAATTGGATGACGAATTTGTTCGAAAACTGGTCATGGGACCGCCTGGGAAATCCTTGAGGGGTACATGTGCACATAATTTTCTTCAAATAAGGAAAGCGAGATGGTGAGGTGAAGGGTCACTTGCTAACTCTTGATTCAATCTTATCAATTTAGGGTTGGACCTCTCGGGGAATGATATTACCGACACAGCGATCACTCACATAGGTTACAACTGCACTCACCTCCAAAAACTATCTCTCAAGGGATGCCACAACATCTCTAGAATTCAACCTTTAGGACTTCTCTCGGCCCATCTCAACACCTTGATTCTATCCCATTGCGGGGACATATGGGATACGTCATTTGACGGATTGGTCGAACAACTCGGTCCAAACCTGTCGAAACTGGATCTCGATGGATGCTACAATTTGACACATGAGTGTGTGGTCAAAATATCGCGACATTTAACAAACTTGAGATATTTGGCAATCGATGGCCAAGGAATCGGCGATCCGACACTGATTGAGATATTCGAGAATTGCAAATCTCTGGAATTGTTTTCAATGTCGTTTTGCGATTCTTTGACCGATGAAAGTTTGGTTGCGATCGTAAATTACTTGACGCCGAATTTAAAGTATTTGAAGTTAAGAAGGGGAACAGAGTTCACCGAAGAGGGGTGCGTGACACATTCATCACTATTTATTTTTCAAGATTAGTTTCCTCCAAAAAAGTTAAATCCCATCCACTCTTATTTCTTTCCTCCTCCTCCTCCTCCTCCTCCTCCTCTTCCTTCACCTGGTAGATTCCAGAATTTTTTCAAGGGTTTGTCATACCGGAACCACTCATTTTATTCACTCGATGTTTCGGAGTGTCATAACATCGCGGAATTGTCTCTTGGTCAAATGGTGCAACCAGAGATTCGCTGGATAAGCTTGGATTGGTGTTGGGGAATAAAGGAGGAATGTTTGTTGCGCATGCTGACCTTGTGCCCAAAGCTGCAAGAGATTTCGATGGAAGGTTGCTTTGAGATAACGTGTGAATCATTAGAGGGAAGGAAATTCCCCGAACTGAAGGTGCTGAACCTTTTTTCATGCAGAGGTGTCGATTCCAGCACCATAAAGAAAATTTGTCAATTGAACAAAGAGATTTATATAATTGATTATTATGGTGAGGCTTATAGAGACGGTAGAAGGATTGGATACAGAGCTGATGTTTACGTGGAAGGCGAAGGGACGGGATGGGGAATGCTAAATGTCGGAAATAATTTGCGATTTTACAGGGGTTACACCGTCTGATCTGGTCCATTAGGTTAAATCGGAATAACCATCATTAATCAATTCCCCGCCACAAGAGTCGGTGTCAAGGGGACGAGTGATTTTCCTAATGTGTAAGCTTCAGAAAATCCTGATATCATTATCATGCAATCTAGCCATCTAGCTGACTGCGTCGGCATGATCAGTCAGAGAGTTTCTGTGATATCAATGTCTATGTCTAATAAATAAATAATTTATATCATTTGCAAGCTTGCTAAACTACAAGAAACTTTGGAACCTTATCAATTGAGACTAGCAAAACTGACATTATTTCCATCATTTAGGCACCGAAATTTCAAGGGACACTTGACAACTTGAAATCTCGGAATGAACGGATCAAAATTCAAACTAGTGATCATATAAACGCCTATTTTTACTAGAGACATACTCAAAGCGTCACATCTTTTTTATTAAAATTTAAAAAGGTGTAAGCACAAAAAAACCTTCTGCCCAGATTAAGCATATTCGTTTCCTCCCTCAAAATTATTTCGTATCCGGCCAGAGCTTCTCCTTTGACAATGTCAGGATCAACAAAAAGCGTAATTTGCGTTGCGGTTTGTGATCGTTGGATCGGGTTCGGTATCGCTAGGGCCTTGCTTTCGTCTCAGAAGCGAGATGGCGAATATGTAATCCGCGCGATTGGACGTGACATGAGATGCATGAAAGAACTTGAGAAATTTGGAGCTGAAGTTATTCAGATCGATTACGATAATTGCGAGACCCTTGAACGTGCATGCCAGGGTTGTACTTGGATGATCATGATTTCAGAGGTCGAAGAGGACCGCGTCAATATGGCCAAAACCTTTGTCAATGTACACATCCTTATTAGGCTGTTGCGTGGGTTCGTGATTTTGGAGCGATCTCCTTATACTCATTCGTGTGATAGATTTGTAGGAAGGTTGATGTTCCTAACCTGTGTTTTCTCTCCATGCTTGGCGCGGAAGATGCAAGTGAAAAGAGTCTTTGCGATTTCAGGGAAATCGAGAGATGCGTGGAATCAATGGTTAATCATTGGACCATCATGAGGTATCAATTCTACATCGATCATTTCTGCTGCAACATCCTCCAAAGACGTCTTGGTTTGTACTAACAATACCTCACACCCGCCATAGGCTATCTTTCTTTCATCAAAGATTGCATCACTTCGCTCGTAGGGTCTCCGAGGAAGGCGTCCTCGCTCTCCCGATTCGTTCCCGTGATCGCATGGCCCCCATCCATTTTGACGATCTTCAATGTGTTCTTCATCACTTGTTGTTTCGTGAAGACGGCACCCTTATCCCAAGAATGGACTCCGAACACCGGAAGAAACACTACATTCTGACCGGCCCTGGAACCGTTGATGGCGAGACGATGGTTCAAATGTTGAACAAAGTTCTCGATCGTGACGATGGAGGAATATGTTTTAAGGAGATCACACGCGAAGAGTGCGAGAAGTATTTGAGACAGGCCTGTGAACCAGAGAACGACGCTACCACCGATTTTATTGGCAGACTTTTACAAAGATTCAAACAACTTTGGTTTGGAACTCCTGATGATAAAGGCGACGAAGTTAGGAATGATCGAGAGGAGGAGGAGCAGGACGATACGCAAGGTCCTATTCCTCCGCATTGCCTAAATGATATTGAGATATTGTTCATGTGATTATAACTATTTTTCTCTATCCCATGTTAATCCATTTGTCGTGTCTCACGTATCATGATCTCTATTATCAAGTTTGGACTTCTTCGACTACACCAAAGAAGGTAAAGCGGGATGCGTTTCAGAGGACGTTAAGAGAATCACAGGAAAAGAACCCAAAGGATTGACGCACTTTTTCAAGGTAATTAACGTTTCTCGGATCAATCTTTATCATTGTCATCCTGGAAAATTGGGCTCGATCTATCTCGTTTGATCCCACTAGAGTCATCGTAATGAATTTGGTCGTCGTCAGTGAGACTTGCAGCGACCATGATATCATGTTGAGACAAGACTGGTGACGGATAAAAAATGCGACGAGTAAACGAGACTGACGTGGATTATTATATTAGCGTTTGGCGTACTTTATGCAAAAAACAAAAAAACGAGCAATAATGATTTTAAGAAAGAATCAAAGAATTACATACTGTAAATCAAAATCATATATGTGAAAATAATAATACAGTATATATTATAGAATAAGTATTAACATTTATTACAAAAATTTTTTCCAAGTTTTATGTATCAATGGCGGCTGTAAATCTAAACCTAAATCTCATAAATTAGTTGCAAGTACCAAAAAACTTATTACCACATTAACCAGCACATTTTCCAGCGTGATAACATGTGCGGCCAAAATTAGACCATTCGCCGTCGATTTTTCATGATCAACGGGTGTAGACACTACTGTTTTATTCTTATCATCATCTCCCGTCGCAACCTCGGCAAACAATGTTTTATTCACCTTATCTGGATGCGACAAAAGTGTTAACGGGCCTGTCATACCAAATACGGTGTACATTCCGCTATTCACCATGCCTTCCGTCTCAACTCTTAAGTAAAACATGGACATGTGTTTTACAGTGCCATGGGGAATCAATGGCACATCCCAAACGTAAACCCACTTTTGTACGTCCACGGCAACTTGATTTGCGTAGTCTGTTTTAACTTTCGGCTTATTAAAATTTCCCGATGCTTTTGGATTGTTATAGAGGGTAATCGTGAAATTTGTTAGAGGAATATTGCAATCGCAATCCTTGGTCTTTGACCACCGGACGTATACTCGAGAATAAGGAGCTAGCACCGTTCCCGGGGGAGGCGTTGTGACGTTTAGGCAAAACATATCATTTAGAGACCATTTCGTATGTATGTCGAACTGAGAGGATTGGGGCTTTGACGATTCCGGATTCATTAGTTTTTCCATGATCGTCTCGGGATCCATTGGATCGCCACCGGTTGCTGCGACACGTGACTTCATTAGATAGTACAGCGCGAGTATATAGCTCAGGAGCATGAAACATCTTGCAAGCATTTGACCCTTTTTTGCTAAGCAAAGTCAAATTAGAAGCTTGTAGATATAAATTTTTCCATTGATTATATATGCATCAAATGATATTTCAACTTGATTTATCTCTTCTATGATTTTGATTCTGTTCCTGGATGATTGATCACGTGTTGATCTCGCGTGCCTAGCCCGTGACGTTTATCTCCAAGCGCGTGCTAATCCTGTCTTCCCTCGAAAAAAAAAAGCAGCCGCCTCAAAAAGATCTATGCATTATGATTGTTATGTTTTTTTTGTTTTTTTTTAAGAAAAAAGTTTGCATTCAACTTCATCATTGTCTCACCCAAATTGGTATTCAACCAAGTTGCAGATATTTTTTTTTTTTTTTTTCGGCGGGTTTTAGGGTATCAGGGTGCTATGCACTGCATAATACAATACGCATAATAATTTTTTTCCTTCTTTCCTTATTTTTTTTTTTTTCGAATTGATCAACCACATTCATATATGTCTAATCGATTCGATTTAATGTATTTCCTTTTTCCCGTGCATTGCATGTCGCCGGTTTCCATTTTAACGACGGGCGCCACAATTTAAAACGATTCTTTATCATCCACCATCAAAAAGTTTGATTGGCTCACGACAAGTTGTCCAAGGGATTTTGAAAATACGCTCAACTACGTTATTTGACCTACCGAACAAGCGATTTCTTCACCAACAATATTCCTTGCAAAAACAGATTTTATTTATGAGTTAAAAGAGTTCATTAAGAGCATGGTATAAAATTTATAATAGATATTTCATTTTAGTCTCCTAGTTCTTTCTTTCAATAAAGTATCACTTTAAAATTTGCACTTTTGAAATAACATGCTAGCCATAGCTAATTTGTTAATTCTCTTATACGTTTTTTAACTCAAAAAAAAAAAAAAAAAAAAAGAATTGAACAAAAAATCCCATGCTTTTTTTGGTTAATTCATTTTTCGAGTAATTCCTGAATTAATTGTTGGTTTTGGATTATTGATTTTTTCAATTAATTTAAGCATTTGTTAATAGAAGATTTGGTTTAGCTTAGATCCTACATGTATACAATGCTTGATTATATTTTATACTAAGTATTCTATTGATATAATAATGCATATAAACAGCCTGGCTTAATGGATTATTGCAAAAAAAAAAAAACCTTCAATTAACTAATCAATTAATAATTATATTGATAATTATATATCGACTAACTAATAATCATATTAATTAAAACATGAAACAATTAATAATTATATTCAAGATATTAAGTGATTAATAATTGTATTCTTTTGAATTTCATGAATTAAAATTTTTTAAATAAATTCAAATATATTTTTCATATTTTTATTATATATTATTTAATAATTTTGTTTTTTGTCTAAATTATAAATAAGTATTAAATATAAAAATTTATTAAAACTTTAAAGTTTACTTTATTATTTAAACTCTTTCCACTGATTCTCTGATCATACACAAAAAAGATATTCGCAAGAAGTTTTTATACTTCCTTGCTAATAAAGTCTTAATATTTTCCTTAAAACAACTTGAAGTATGACTTCAAAAGTCACTTTTATCCTTCCCCTATCATTTACAAATCTCTTTACTCAAAAACTTGACTCCTAGTGATCAAGAAAAGTCAAGTCATGCCTTTAATACCAACGCATAAAAGTTCATAAAGGAAGAAGAACTAACTATAAAGTACCTGAAGATCTAATTAACCTTTGAAGTGAGAGGTATATAGAGATTTTTGATAATAGAAGTGCTTATTTTTCCCTTTCCAATTACTTGTGGACCTCTTAGAGCTATCCCTTTCATGGTTTTCTAGAGAATTTTGCCTATCTCAGTTTGACTCTGAATTTTTGGTAGCACAAATCCTTATCAAAAGTAATTGGCTAACACGAAACACGTCAGTTTTTGAAATGTAAACAAGCTTCTATTGATCATACTCACATGTCTTGATATATCATTGATGATGTAGGAAAAAAAGTTCTAGAAAAAATGTCCTTTCCAATCATGTATATTCAACCTCCAGAAAACAATTATGATATCAAAAAGCAAGTGACAAATATAAAAAGAAGATTCAACTCTTATTACTTATTAAATTCCTCAGATGATGAAAAGACTTTCTTAAACAAAAACTGAAGTCTTCAAGCTTTTATCTCAGTCAAGCAAGGTTCTTGAAAAGATTTCTTTATCCTAGTTAGGCAAATTCTTTCATAATATGGCATTGGCTTTACTAGAGATAAGTGAATCTGTATATCGGCAGAAGGATAAGTTCTTCAAACGTTCTTCTTGAAATCACTTTCAAGAATAGTTAAGTTTCTCAAATATCATAAAGCTTAGAAAATATTCTAATCAGGCAAATCCCTTTTGAGAAAAAACTATGAAATGAAGCAAGAATCTTTTGAAGGGCTTTGATTTACATTTTCTTTTCTCTTTTTTTTAGTATAAACTTTAACAATTCATTATTTTTTGGAATAATTAACAGTGACAAACTGTTGATAATGACCCTGATTAACTTAGAGACACTATTGTCAAGTTACTAGGAGAGTGAAATATTGTCTCCTAAATCTGACTTAGAGTACCTAGTTTAGACTTAGTTTTGTTTAGTCCAAACTAACTTAATAAACTTCTCATATTTTTTAAGTAATATAGTCCTTTAACTAATAATATACAATGACGAGTTAATCGCTTTGTGAAAGTCTATAAAATATTTAGGTATTTCTCAATATCTCAATAAAGACATGCCATTGCAACATGATTGCAGGTTAAAAAAAAAAAAAAAAAAAAAAAGAAAACAATAGAACACTTATTAAAATTACCAACTTACAAGACTCAGTAAAATGAAATATAGCAAAAAAAAATAAAAGAAGTCTTGAAAGGATTCAAAAAGCTCTTAAAGAATAGAAAAAAAGAATCTGAAGAGAAATAGCTAAACTTAATGATAAATAATAGAATAAAAATAGAAGAGATTAATAAACAGATAGTGAAACTAGTGAAAAAGATCTTAAAAATCAGTTAAAATATACTTGGCTTCTATATAGGATTAATAGAAAAAGATATAATTATAAAAATAGTAAATTTGAAGTATCATGGTAAAAAAATAAAAAAGAGGCAAGAAGATGGATAACAAAAATACAAAAGAAAGTATATAATCACTTCTGAAAGAAAATTGATTAATAAATATATAGTACTGGCCTGACTATGGATTTAAAAAAAAATCATTTTTGAAAAAAAATATGGAATGCCAGATATAAAAAGATAATCAAGTGAAAACAGATATAAGAAATTTACAAATGTACCAAGATAAAAAGATCAATATATTTATGGATCAAGAAAGTAAAATCAGGAATACAGAAAGTTTATTTATTAAAAAATCAATATATAAAAAGAAAAGAATCCAAAACAAGAAGTTGAAAGAAATTTTACTAAATAATGTAAAGTATGATAAGAAGTGATTTGACTTTAATCTCTGTCTGAACTCAAATGAATGATCTGCAGTAGTAATCTATAGGCAATAAGGTTAAAAGTTGAAAGGGTCTTTATTTAAACTACTAATGGAGTGATAAATCATTTCCAAAGTTGTACTTAGAGAGATAATATAATCAAAACAAGTAAGTTAGTTGAAAAATTGACTTTAGTATTTTATTATATATATATAGCTTACAAATGTTTAATAAAATATATATAACTAATTTGATAAAAGATTATAAAAAAAAAATAAAATAAAGAATAATATGCTAATAATAATCATAATAATATATAATGCTAAACAAATATATCTATAATATTTCTTATTATTTATTAATAACAAATACAACTATTACTATAAATTTATTGATGTTTATTTATATATATTAGTAATTCAGGTTTCACATTATCTTAAAGCTTTAGGATTAATAGTCAGATCATGTGATTTAAAATATCATATGTTCTAGCTAATTATTAGTGTTTCATAGCTAAAGGTCTAAATCCTTGATTATATTAAAATCTTATTTAATAATATCTTTTTGACCTTAATAAATAATATTTGTTTCACTAAAATATCTATAGTTTTCTAAGATTATTTTAGCAATTATCATCTAACATTCAAGTATAAAATTATGCTTTCATTAGGTGATTTAGGTAAACTTATTACAAAAGCTTACAAAACTAATAACTTTAATGATTAAATAAATTCATTAGTTAAGCAGGTCAGAAAAAAAAATCATATAATATAATAATATATATCAAACTTATAAAAGATCATTTCTATTACAACCTGAAATAACTTATTTATTGATATTAAAATAAGAGATTTTATCAAAGATTAGAATAAAAAAGGAATTGAATTAGATTAAAGTAGACAAAAGAAAATTCAAAAACAATAGAGAAGAAATAAAACTGAAATAGATTGAAAAATCTTTTAAAATCAATTCTATCTTTAATACATATTCTATATATCTTTCAAATTCAACAAGGAAAAAACTTTTTAGTAAACTTAATATATAGTAAATTATTTATACTTCAGATACTTAGAAAACAAAAATTAAAATGTATCTAATAAAGACTTATCTAAGATATAAAACTTAGAAAAAAACAATAGAACACTTATTTAAGTATCTAGAGATCAGTTTTAAAAGTTCAGAAATTTGGAAAAAAATAGTTAAAAGATTAATAAATATATAGTTAAAGAAAAAAGAAAGTTCTAGTAAATAACTAGAAAGTTATTTAAAAAAATGAGCAAATGGATTAAGAAACTGTAACAATAAGTTTAGAGTATTTATGACTTGATTTATGGATACTTATATAAAAATAAAATTAAGCTAATTCAAAAATTTCTTAAGAACTAGCACAAAATAAAACCAATAATTATAAAAGAAGTTTTAAAAAAACTTTGCTAATATATATAAAAAAGTTTTATAAAAAAAATTTAAAACAATAGCTGTATCATTATAATTGAATATATAAAAACCTTA